GGCTTCCACTGCTGACCCTTGGGCCTTCCCAGCATGGACCCGTAAAAGACACTGGTGTGAGTCCTTCTTGTGGACTCTGGCCTGCCAGTTGGACTCGTGGGAGGCACTGACTGTCCTGAGCTCTGGGTTTTTATCTGGACTCATGTGGGACATAGCTGTGGGATTTAGGTTCTTGACTAAATAAACTCTATATTTGGTGTTGGGGATAGACTTCCTGCATTTTCCTGTGTTAACTCCCGGTGACCATTATAAAAATAATATTATAACCTCCATGTCTTGATCTAATTGTTCTCTGTGTACAACCCCTGACTACAACATTTCCCTACCTATTCTACCTTTAGTTGCCCATTCTTCAGGGTTTATTTCTGTCTGCATGAGGGGAAGGCAGCATACCTGACCTGGGTGCATATGTATCACAGAATTTAAACATGATACAATATGTCTTCCCAAGAGGGGAACTGGACTTTCAGGCATAATCAAAAATGAATGTGTGAAAAGAAAACCACCCAAGTTACAGCCTAAGGGTTGTGAGAAGTAGCGGATTACCTCCGCACCAGTGGCTCCTTTCATAGAGGTGTGGGGACTAGAAGGGGTCAGGAAGGCAGGATTGAAAAGAAGGACCGAGAGGCTTGCACCAGTGTCCAGCAATAGGCTGGTTTCTTTTTCCCCTGTATAGTCATGAGCTCCTCTGTGGAGAGGACAGTCTGGCCAGAGGGAGAGGGCAGCAAGTGCCCCAGGGCCCTCCAGCCCTGCTGGACTAGCTGATCGGATGGGTCTGAACCCTAGGGTCTCAGAGGGCAGTCTGACCTTCAGTGGTCACCTCTCAGTTGGGGCGAGGCCCAGGGGACTTCTGAGTGCAGTCCCTCTTAAGGTGACCTGGCTTGTGGCAGCGGTAGCAGGTAAGAGTCCTCTTTGAGCTCTTCTTGGAGCCCTGAGAATCAGACTTAGGGTCTGTTCTCTTAAGGCTGTAAGCAAAAGTGGCTGCTTTTTCTGGGTCTCCTTGTTTTCTCTCTTTGACCTCCCTCACATCATGGTTATAAAACACTGAGGAGGCAACTTTTACTAAAGAATCAAGTAAGCTATCTGGAGCAAAAGCCATCTTTTGTAGCTTTTTTCTAACATCTGGAGATGACTGAGTAATAAACATGCCTTTAAGCAAAATCTGTCCCTATATTGAATCAGATCTATGGACATACATTTTATTACTGCCTCTGATAAAGAACTTAAGAAGTCAGGGGTTTTCACCTTTTTCTAGAGAAATAGCTGACGATTTAAAGTAACCAGAAGGCTTGGATTTTGTCCTTCTGAGACCTTTGAGAATACACACTTGAAAAAGTTTCCTGTTCCAATCTCCTGCATTGTTGGCAGGCCACTTGGGGTCTTGAGTAGGAACTGCTTGTGCCCCAGTAGGGAGCAGAATATATTTACTGAGAGAAAGAAAGCTGTCTGAGAGAGGGAGACAGGAGTCCCAAGCAGGTTGACACTGTCTTTTTTAAGGACTTGTATAGAACAAAACCACAAAGTGAAGCAGGTCCAAAATGGGAACTCCCAAGGTGGGTGTGAGGTGGACAGAACTATGGCAACCAACAGGATTATGAATATAATTGCCCAGGTAAAACTGATTAAGTAAGTGGGCGACAAGTGGAGGAAGCCACTCACGTGGCCAGCGGGCATGAATGTGGAGCAGGGGCTCTTTGCCTGTAGGAGCTGGGTTAGTGGCTCCTTCCTGCTTCCTCGGGAGATAGAGACCTATTTAGAACATCAAGCCCTGATGTTCATCCTCAAGGTGTGGGAGCACTTGTTTAACCTTTTGTCTTGAGGCCTGGCCTGCAGTGGGAGGTGTCTGTCTCCCCCGTTACGAGGTATATAACACTACCAGTGTCTCTTAGTTCGTGAAGAAAAAAAAAAGGTTTGCGCTAATATCGTTGGGACAATTTTTATGCCCATATCTTGTACTCTGATGAACTACTTTAAAGATAACAATATGCAGTGTATTCACTATTGTTATTTTGGTACGAAATTTTATTTACTTTTTTCGATAAAAAATAATATAGTTGACTGCACCAAGTTGGTGCATATATATAAGAAAGATTTCATCACATTCATCTGTAAGCCAACTTAAATTGTAGACAAATATTTTAAATTCTAAAAAGGCAAAAAGAAGAAAAATTGAGCTTAAAGAAAACAGCTGTAATACAGTAACTGGTTATGATTCATAATCCTTTTATATAAGACTAGTCATAACTTTTATAGATCACTTAACAGAGCTCTCTTATAATAAAAATTGGAATAAAATCCCTTTACCTACAATCAATTTTTTCCCTTAAGACTTTGGCAACTCCATGTCCTTGTCCTTCACTGGACCTGGGGCTGGGTCACCTCTGTACCTTCTGTGAACTCCTCAGATCTGTTTTCTTTTCACAGTTTTTGTGGGATCTCTCTCTGTGAGACCTAGCATTGAAGTTTTATAAGATTTGGGTTTCACAACCTGGGAGCTGGGGCGCAGGTGGGGGCGCAGGAGGGGGTGCAGGACGTGGAGACACAGGCGGGAGGTGAAGGATACAGTGGCCTTTTGAGCACCACAGCATCCCTGGCCATTGAGGTGTCAACTGTGGCCAAGAGAAAAAGCAGGAGGTTCCTCATTCCAGTTGGCTCACAAGGCAGGGGGAGGAGGGCCTTGACAGAGTCCACTGTCATTTTATAATTTGTGGTTCCTGGCCTCCTCTCCACAGGGGATGTTTCAAATGTGGGTGTCCAGAGCAACGCACCCAGGCGTGTTCTCTTGATGCAAGCAGACAGGGTGAGCAGATGGGGCCTGTGGCCAAGGCTGTTTGCTCTCTGGGGACCCATGCTGAGTGGCCGGGACACTCCTTGTCCTGATGGGTCAGCCCTGTGGAGTATGGACCTCAGCTCCTGCGGCCCCAGCTGAGACAAGCAGATCTTGCACAGGCCAAGGAGAGGGCTGGCATGGGAACAGGATGGGCAGCCGGGAGCATCGCCAGCTTCTCAGTCACTCGCACAGGGACAGGAGACAGACCCTGACCCCAGGCCCTCATCCGCTGCTTCTGCACCTTCACCTCTTTCAGTACCCAGAAACACCTCCAGGGGCTCGTAATGCTCTCCACTCACTGTCTCTTAACAGGAACTCTGGGAACCTTTCCTCTGCCGGACCCCAAAGGCCCGGGGCCCCTCTCCCTTTCCTGGGTCTGCAGCTTTACCGCAGGTGAACCTCAAGCCCACAGTGGTCTTCCCAGAACAGTAACAAGGCAGGCAAATCTCCTGCCAGGGATCCAGGGACCCGGGTGGGAAGAGAGGCCCAAGAGCTGTGCCGTGCCACACCCACCACCAGGGGGCAGAGCGGGCCTGCCACAGGGAGCCTCTGGTCAGCCCTCCCAGAAACCTCTGCTGGCACCACCTTATCCCACCCCATTCCTCTTGGGCTCTATCTGTTTACCCTACTTGTCTTTTTTTATTGCAACTATACCTTGAGTGTTTTCTTCTGCACATGAGTGAAAAACAATATATTTTCTAGATTTGCTAGAGTCCTTGTTTGGAAAACCCTACAGCTAATCTTTAACCAAATGTAATAAACCAGTTTACAAACCACTACATAAATTGGAAAATCCAATTTATGTTTTAGTGCAAAACCAAAAACCCACAGGAAACTTGTCCAGTGTGCAAGAGCACTGAAAATTGCTGGCTGCTGAGGAAGGAGACCCCTGGAATTCCTTACCCAGTCTAAACACCCCAGGAAAAGACTGGGGACACAGCATGAATTCTGTAGGCTCCGGACCCCAGGGCCTGAAATTCCCAGAGAGCTGTGTCTCTGAGCCCAGAGCACATGGGCACGTGCCGCTCAGGCCACAAGAAAGCTCAGCTCACAGCAATGCTGGGTTTGAGCCCAGTCAGGACAGGCCCATTGCTAGTTCCTGCCTGATAGAGCCCCTGAGGCCCCTGCCTCTGGAGCCCCTGAAAGGTCAGCTCTAATGACTCGAGTTGGGAGCAGACCAAAGTCCTGATGGTCCAGGACTTTTCACTGAGCGACCTACAGCAAACAGCGGGCCTGGGGTCTATGGCCATTCTGCCCCCTGCCACTCCCAAATGACGAAGGACTTCTCTGGTAGAGATTCAGTACTGACCACCGTCCCTGTCCCTCTCCCTTGCTGATCCCTTGTTAAAACTCTGCTTCCTGTACCTGGACTTGCCTTGCCCAGGGCGTGGTTCCTGGCTTTCTGGGGTAACTAGTTCGCCAGCCCCTTCCCCAGGGACCCTGTGCCCCGCTTACTGCATGTCAGCTCTCTGATGTCAGCCCCAGGATTCAGGTCCTTCATCCAGCTTTGCCCTCTGCTCTGCTAGGCCCAGGGGTCAGTGCATAAAGACCCCCAAAGCACCCCGAGTGGTGCATGCATGTGTCACACTAAAGAGGGCAGTTCAGACCCACAAGACTTGGCCTCAGCCACCTCCTCTTAGGACCCTCCAGGGCTTTGGCAAGATTCTGCCCCAACAGGAGCCCCCTCCACTGGCAGAAATAGCCCCCAGAACCCACAAACCTTTACATGCACCCACCTTGTGGGCTCCCCATGTCCTGGGACCCCTAACCCATCAGGACCTAGCCATTCAGTGTGGTCCCCAGGGAGCAAGCGGCCCCAGTCATGGGTCCTCACGTGACTGTATCCCAGGTACACACGGGGGCATGTGGCCTTGGGCACCAGCATTTGAAGCCTCCCTGTGGGACAGAGGTCAGGACAGAGACTGGCACCTGCTGGGTGCCCCAAGGCCAGACCAGGCAGGGGTCTGGACAAAGAAATTGAGTGTGAGAGCCTGACCATCTTGTCCCAAGACACTGGTCAGTGCTCCAGGATGCCTGGCTGACTTGATACTGCAGATGTCTGGGAAAAATCAGACCCTGCAGACAGCGACACAGGGACCAGCACCGCAGCCGACCCAGCTCGGCTCCAGCCCTCCCAGAAAGGGCATCTTTTCCTCTCCTCCTTTCTCAGTCCCAAGCCTGGTCCTCTCCTCATCCTGTGTGCCCTGTGGAGCCCCTGGTGGGGACCCAGACCAACAATTACCACGGCTGGAAGGTGAAGAAGTGGAGCAGAGAGGCTCCTCCCACCCACCTACCCGCAGCAACTCCTCCCTCAGGCACCTCCTCCAGGAAGCCCTCCCTGAGGCCCCACAACCGCCCACCACAGTCAAGCCACTGGTGTATCCTGCTCATCCTCCTGAGCCACTGGGGACCTTGGCAGGCCCTGAGCTTAACCTGTGTGGTGCAGACAGGAGCATCTTTCTGGCCAGAGAGGGGCCCAGCTCCAGGCTGAGGCTGGGTCTGGCAGCATGGCCAGGCTCACTCTCCTCACCCTGCTCCTCTCACTGGCTGGAGCCCTGGTCAGTGCCCTGATGGACCTAGGTAAGCACTTTGCTTCCCTTGGGGAGGGTGAAAGGGGTGAGCAAGACCTTCCTGCATGTCCCCATGCCCCTTCCATGGGTCAGAGCAGCCCCCAGCCCATGCTAGGGCTTGGCGACAGCTCACTGTGGGGTGTTTTTCTCTCTCCTACCTCCTGAGACCTTTCTATAGTTAGCCCGGGAGTCATGGGAAGACTTGTGCCTGCACAGAAAGCTGGGTGCTGCTGGGTCTGGGGCTGCTTCCAGGGGTCTTGTGGATAGGCAAGGAAGGGCTCTGGGCACTGGGGACTGAGGGGAAACTGAGGCACTCAGCATCTGAAAGAAACGAAGGGGAGACAGGACAGTGACCTCTAGCAGGAGGATACTCAGGAGAGGGGATGTGCAGAATCGGGTTGAGGGGCCAAAGCTGCCAGGGTGGAAGCAGAGCCAGCCTGCTACACCCTCCCTGGTGCTGGGCAGGCAGCCCATCCCCCACTCCCATGGCCCTCAGAACTCAGCCACCCCAGAACTGGCAGCCAGAGCAGCTCCAAAGCCCCTGTGGTTGCCTGGTCTGTGGTGCTGTGCTGGACGGGGGCCATCCTGGGGTGTCTCTGCCACTGTCTGCAGAGGGTATCCTCTGTCCCTCTGTCCCTCGGTCCCTCTGTCCCTCTGACTAGCCTGGTGGTGATGGTGGAACCTGCTTCCCCAGAGGTGCAGCAGTCTCCCCGCCACACCATTGTCTCGGTGGGGGGCTCCGTGAACATCACCTGCTCCACTAGTGCCCCTACGAAAGGGCTCTTCCTGAAGCAAACCTGGCCAAAAACCATGAACGTGATTTACTACGAGGATGAGATGAATGCCACTGTGGATGAGCAATTCTGGGACCGTGTCAGCTTCATGGGGTCCCAGGACAACCTGAGCATTACTGTGAACCACCTGCAGCTGGCCGACTCTGGCGTCTACATCTGCTCTGCTGTTGCTATTGACAGTGAATCTTCGGGCTCTGGTACCATGGTCATGGTCACAGGTAGAGAAGGCCCCACTGCCCAGGACCCTCCACCCACCGCTGCCCAGGCCAGGCTCCCACCAGCCCAGTTGGAGACCCTCCCTCACTCCCTGGAGCTGGTCCCTTTCCAGCCAGCCTCCTCCACAGAGCCTCCTAGGTCTCCTCCTGCTCAGCCCTTCCCTGCCTGAACCCAAAGGCTCGAACTGGGTCTCCCACCACCTGGGGGCCCTTCTTCCTACCAAAGACCTGTCTTTGTTTCCATTACCAGAAAAACTGTACCAAGAGACACAAGAACCTCACAAACACCAGGACCCTGGGCCGAAGGTGCTTGTCCTCCCGTGGGCCCTTGCTGGGGGCTGCTTCCTCCTCGGGCTGGGCCTGGGAATGCTGTATGCCCTGAGGACGCAGGTCAGTGGGCGACCTCTGCAGTTCTCCCCTACCAAGGAGCAGAGAGCAGTGCAAGGGAAGAGGGAGGAGCTGCAGTCCAGTTGCTGGCATGGACCGCAGCGCCCACCCACCCACCTGCAGGGACTGGGGGAGGCCTGGGCCTCACCTCATGGGCCAAGGACCATGAGGGGCAGGGTTGGAGATGACCTGCTTCAGGCCATGGTCAGCTGAGTGGACACTGTGTACATCTGTTGTGGCAGGCACATGTATGGGTGTCCGTGTGAGTGTGCAGGGGACACAGGGCCATGTGTGAGTGTGGTGGGTACACATGTTCAAGGATAGAGGACCTGAGAAGGTTTGGGGGTCAGCATGTGCCCTGTGGACCGGGTGGGACGAGGGGCTGGTGAGACCCCTGCCATGGTCAGCGCTGCCTGGATGCTGCATGGAGCTGGAGAAACTCCCCCAAGGGAGTGTCTGAAAGGAAAGGGTGCTCAGAGCCACCACTGGGACCCAGGTCACGAGGCCAGCAACCTGGGGGTGACTCAAACTGTCTTTTAGATCAGGAACTCATGTGCCTCCAGGGACAAGAATCCTGTCTACGTGGTATATGAGGACATGTCCTACAGCAGCCGCAATATGCTGTCCACCCCTACCAAGTGCTAGGGAGCCCTTGGATACGCTGCCCCCTGCACCCCACCCAGCTCACCTAGTGCTCACACTCAGGCGGCTGGGGTGGGGGCTGTGCTCCTTGGTGCCCCAGACAGACAGGACGCCGTCTTCAGAAAGCCTTCCAGCCCGGCCTACCCTTGGTGCCCTGGTCAGTGCGTCACCAGCTACAAAGCTCAGAGTCCCTGGGCCACCCTTCCCTTCCCACAAGGGAGCGAGGCCTTTTCTGTGGATGGGCTTAGACACCTGGCAGGTCCCCAGGTCCAGCATGGTGGCAAGGGGCAGCAGGAGGCCCAGGCCCATCCAGCCCTGTGGGAAATAAAACATTGCTTTTCTTTCCTTGCTAATTTTGGTACTTATTTACCAACCACAAGCCCCTCCCAGGGTTTTGTTGGCTGGTGTGGTCATAAGGCCCTGGAGAAAGCCAGAGGGGAGGGGGGAACACACCCTCATTTACCCCAGGGACTCCTGGAGGGGCACTTCATCTGGCCAGGTAAAGAGCAATCTGAGGCACAGCGCCCGCCCCCGCCCCCTGCTCCAGCAACACAGCCCTCTCTGGCCTTAAGCCCCTCCCTGCAGGTCTCTGGTCCCCAGTCTCTGCCCTTGCAAGGGCCGGCCAACCATGGGGCCAGAGAAGAACTGTGGTGTCCCCCCGAGGACCCCCAGAGAGTAGCACATACCTTCCTGGCTTTTCCCAGATCCCTCCTCGTTCCCAGAGACCTCTGGGGGAAAGGATTCAGCTACAAGAAGCCCTGGTCCCCCTTTGTGAATTGGAAACAGACACAGCCTCTCGGAGGATCCATGGTGGAGCTGCCCAGCCCCCAACCAGCCCTCAGGATGCCTTCTGGGACGGCCACAGGCCGTCAGAGGGGCAGACCTTCCCCTAGGCCTGTGGGGTGGGTCCGGCCTCAGTGTCAAGTCCTTTTTACCTAGAAACCCTGCTTCTGGTCATCTACTTCTCTGTGAGAAAGGACTGAACTTCCAGAGATGAGCTGCTGTGTGGGTCCAGTGCCAGAGGGCATCAGGAGGCATGGGGAGGGTGCGCAGAGGGTGAGGGGTGGCCACGTGGGGTCCCACAGTGATGAAATAGAACACAGGCGGGTGCGTTTGTTTTCTCGCACACACCTGGGTGGTTTTCTATCTGCATCTGTGAAATAGACATCACATCAGCAATGATTTTGTCTGGTGTGAGACACAGACCACTATTTTTTCTGTGTCAACCATGTGTCAGGCAGCCAGCCAGGAAGGTGGGCCACGAGGGACTCGGTCTCCCCATCCTCACGGGGACTTGAAGATACAGTCTCCCACCTGCTTCCCTCCTCCTCCCTGAGTGTGCCCCGCAGCACCCTCCTGTCTCAGCACCCTTGCCAGCAGCCCTGTCACCTCTGCCGTGGCCACCTGGAATTGGCAGTCTCTCCACACCTGGTGCCCTGCCCCCTGGCATCTGGCAGAGCTGTGACTGTCTCTGCAGTGCCCACATTTGGAGAGTCCCTAGACCCTTGGGCCAGCAGTGGTGGGCCTGGATGGCTCCTGCTGGCTCTCTTAGGTCCAGTGCCAGCAGTGTGATCCAAACGGTGGCTAGAGGCAGGCGAAGGGACACAGGTGGGACCCTGGGGTGCAGGGACACAACTAGAAATACAGGTGTGAGGCTCTGCGAGGACCTGGGCACCCCTGAGTACACAAGTGTGGTACTCTCTGGGGGTGCTGGGCAAACTGGGGGACACAGATATAGGGGCCCTTGGTGGGGGACATTTCTAGGCCATCTGTCTTGGGCCCTTTACCCAAATGGTCCTGACAAACTCATCAGCTTTGTAATGTGATGTGTACAATATTCTCCCCTTAAATCAAATAACATCTGTGGACGGGCAGGGGATTTAGCTCAGCAGCACAACACAAGCGCATGCCTGGCAAGCACAAGGTTGTGAGTTCAATCCCTAGTACCAAAAAAAAAAAGCAGCTGTGGAACTGGATGTGTGGTCCCCACCTGTGATCCCAAAGATTCTGGAGGCCAAAGCAAAAGGATTGCAAATCTAAGCAACTCCCCATATCTCAACATTTAAAATGGGGGAAGGAGTGAGGATGTAGCTCAGTGCCAGGGCACCCATACAGAGAGCACCCACTACCACACAAAACAAGAGGGAACAAAACCCACCTCCACACTGGCATGTCAGGCCCTGGGCAGGAGCAGGAGTCCTGCTCTCAGCACAGCCTGACGCACTCAGGGCAGAGGGGAGGAGGTGGGGACAGGGCTCAGGAGGCTGTCCGCATGTCCCACTCTCCCAGAGCATCCCCGGAGGAAATGGGCCACTTGCAGTCCAGGACTTGGCCGTAGACAAAGCAAAATGTCCAGCAGGTGCCTGCTGACTGTCAGTTCCCTCTTGACTACTCAGTAAAGGAGACTTGGACAAGCCACTGCCCCTCTGGCTTTGCTCTCCTGGATTAGGTGGGTGGGGTCCATGTCCCCTTCGAGCACTGGGCTGTGGTGTCCAGACTGAGCTGGGGCCCTGCCTCAGACCCCCACTCCCTCCCTTCTCTTCATCTGTGAAGCAACTTCCTGAGAGATAAACAGACAGCACCGCGGGTGTGTCGAGAGCCCGTGCCTCTGAAGTGTGGCTCTGGCTGAGCCACCCAGTGACCAGAGGCCACACAGGAACAGGCCAGGACCCCATGGTCCTCCTGACTCCTCGACACAGCCCCAGGGTCCCCAGTCCTCCTCCCTCCTCCTGCCCCTCACAGGCTCTGCCCAGGGCTGCCCAGCGTGGAGGGAAGTGGCAGACACATGCCTTACGAGCCTCACCCAGCCTCCAGACCAAACCCTCCCATTAAAGCCGAGCTCTCAACACAAGGCAGGGCCAGAGGTGGCAGCCCACAGAGAGGGGGCAACAAGGTGGGCAGAAGCCTCTGAGTGCCAGGATCTTGCCTTGCCCTGCCCCGGGTATGTGGCCCAACCCCAAGCAGTGGACTACATCCAAAGGTCCACAGCTCCTTCCAGCTAACATTCTGAAGCGGGAACCTTGTCAGGGAAGAGCACAGCCACGTGGAGCATCACATTCACCTCTCAGAACACAGGCAGGGCATCATCCATCAAACCAGCATGGCAACACCTTCACCAGACAAGGAGCTGCCAGGCGTGTGATTGGGACACACTGGGGGGATGCCAGGGAAGAATGAAACACAGGCAGCAGGAAGATCAGGCTGAGGATGACACACCCGTGGTGGAGGATTCCTGAGGAAGAGAGAAGGACAAGGAGAAACCCGAGGCACACAGAGGAAACATCTCCACCAGGGGGAGGGGCAAGGGCACCAGGATGCTGCAGATTCTCCAAAGCTGGAGTGGAGGCAGCACTTGTGTCAAGGACCCTTGAGGAGCAGACAGGACAGAGAGGCGCCACACCTGAGTGTGTCCTGAGGAGGACAGCACCACAACAATGGGGAGCTCTGCACTCAGAGGTGCCCCTCCTGACAGCTCTGGACTCCAGCGGACCAAAGCAGAGTAACAGCCTGCGAGACTGAGAGAAAAGTGCTTCTGCTGGGGCTGCTGACTCTAATTAAACCCCAGTAAGAAAGCATGTGACGGAGGTCTCAGACAGCTAAGGTCTTAGGCACCAGTGTGAGCTAGCTTTGAGGTTACCTTTTTTGTTTGTTTGTTTGTTTTTCGGGATTTTTACCCCCAGTACTTTGCTCTGAGCTGCACACTTTGTCCGTGTTTTTAATTTTAAATTTTGAGACAAAATCTCACTGAGTCACTAAGTTGCCTGGCCTTGGCTCAAACTTGTGATTCTCCTGCCTCAGTTCTCCAAAGTGCTGGGAGCGCGGGCATGGGATGCTGCACCCAGCTGGAAGTCACCCTTGGAGGCCTCGTTCAGGTCAGAACACAAGGGAAATAAGGACTCAGATAAAGTTTATCTTTGTCAAAAAAAAAAAAAAGCTAAAGAAAATAAACATTTATGCAACAATCTAGAACACAATTCTAGATGGTATCAGGACAATGGAGAGAGGGTTGGGTGGGAAGGGGGAAGTGACAATGTGCTAGATATTTCAGGAAGATGAAGATGAAGATGAAGAAAAAAGCAAGGGTAGCGATTCTATTTGCAGACAAAGTAAAGTTTAAGCCAAGGCTGATTAAGAGAGCTAAAGATGGTCCCTACATCCTCGTATGGGGAACAATCCAAGAGGAAGAGATAGCAATCATAAATATATATGCAACAAATACCAGGGCACCAACTATATGAAACAATTATAAACAGACATGGAAAATCATATAAGTCCTAGGACAATTGTATTGGGAGATCTCAATACCCCACTGTCACAAGAAGACAGCAACTAGACAAGAAATCAATAATGAAATAGTAGAACCAAGTCAAACTTTTGAACAGATGGATCTAGCAGATGTCTATAGAGTGTTCCACTGCATGACATCAGAATACACATTCTCAGCTGCACATGGGACATTCTCCATAATAGACCATAGACTGACTCATAGAACATGCTTAAGTAAATGCAAAGAAATTAAAATTATCCCATGCATACTATTAAACCTCAGGGTAATGAAACTGGAAATCTATGCTGAAGGGAATCACAAAAACTTCATAAACACATGGAAATTAAGTAGCACCCTACTGAACAACCAGTGGGTCACAGATGAAATTAAAGAATAAATTAGGCAGTTTTTACAGTTGAATGATAATGACAATACAGAATACCAGAACTTGTGGGACACAATAAAAGCAGTCTTAAGAGGGAATTTATAGCAGTAAATATCCACATCAGGAAAACAGAGCAAGGGGCTGGGGATTTAGCTCAGCGGCATAAGCACCTGCCTTGCAAGCAAGCGGTCATGAGTTCGATCCCTAGTACTGATAAAAAGTTTAAAAAGTAAAAAAAAAAAAAAAAAAGAAAGAAAGAAAAGAAAAGAAAACAGAGCAAGTACATATAAACAACCTAATGTTGAACCTCACATTTTAAAAAAAAAAAAGAGTAATAGGCTAAGCCAAAAACTCATACAAGGGAGTAAATTATAAGAATCAGAGGAGAAATTAACATACTGGAGACTAAAAGAAAATACAAATAGTCAATAAATCAAAGAGTTGGTTATTTAAATTTTATTTAATCTTTAAAATTAACCCTTAGCCAACCTTATCAAAAAAAAATAAGGAAAGAAAAGACTCAAATCCATACAATTAGGAATGAAAACGGTAAAATCACAACAGACACTGCAGAAATCTAGAAAATCATCTCTACTTACTTTGAAACTTTTATTCTAACAAGATGGAAAATTCAGAAGAAATGGATAGATTCCTAGATACACATGAATTACCAAAGCAATCATGAAGATATAAAATCCCTA